CAGCGGCTGCTGGTCGGTGTAGACCCCACTGACCCCTGATGGGGGATCCTGAGGGGACATGGGGCAGGCCAGCTGGCCCTTCCTCGGGCTGTGACTCTTGCTTGTGGTCCCTTGGAACCTCCGAGAAAGCACTTAAAGGCTGAACCCTTCCATCTTGGGCTCGCTCCCTGGATCAGCTACTCTGGCACCCGACAGCTGGGCTCCCTCCCAGCTCGGCCGAGCTGCTCACACCGCAGGCACCCCGAAGCGGGGAGACGCCACCGAGGTTCAGGGGCACAGGGAGGAAGGTGCGTCCACCTGAGCGGAGAAGGCGAGGGAGAGGGGATTGCGGAGCTTGGCCCTGGAGACTCTGGTCACCACACTGGGTCCCCGCTGCACCCGCAGCCCCCCCCACATTGGGAACAGAAGGCCTTGTGCCAAACCAGAGGGGAAACCGAGGCCAGCAGCGGGGCTTCCAGGAGCCTCAGTGCCTGGCCCCCAGACGCCCCCATCCGTCCCCTTGCCCCCTGCAGCCTTGATCACGCTCCTGCTTCCTCCCGCCAGAGAAACCTCCCCTTCAGTCCTGCCCTCCCCTGGGCTCCCGGGGTCTCCCCCCACCCCAACCTCGGGAGGTTGCAGCCTGCTGGGGAGCTGGCCTCACAGGACACTTCTTCTACAGTTTTCCAGTTATCAGCCGTGTTTTCCGGAAAAGTACCTCCAAATTTGAGCCAATGGAAAAAACCAAAAAACAAAAAACACAACAAATCTGAGCCAATGGGACAAAGTGAATTGGAAAAAAAGAATCCATACATCAGCGAGTGTCCCAAACATTGGGAAGCACAAGGAAAATACTCAACGCATGATCTGAAAACTAGCCGGTTATTCTTAACCAGCACTTGGTTCAGTGATGTTTCTGCCCTGGCTTTGTAGACACCACCCCCCCCCACACGCACACGTGCGCACACACACACACACACACACACACACACACACACACTTGAAATAATAATGCAAGTGGCACCATTTCTACCCCTCCCAGCCCCACAGCTCACCACAGCCCGGCTTCTGCCCCCATCACGCCGCTCATGCTGCCCCGTGAACCCCGGCCCCCAGCCACTCTGAACCAGGACTCGTGCCCACACCCCCTTTCCATCCACAGGAGCGAAGGGTATGGGCCCCAGGGCTGATCTATGGAGCCTAACCTCTGTCTCTGCCTCCTGCCACCTGGGGGCCTTAGACGGGGTGATGCACCTGTGTGCCTCAGTTTCCTTATTTTGAGCAAGGGATAATGACAGCCGGTGGAGGTAACAGAAATAAAGCACGTGGGGGAGTAAGAGCCGAGAGAGGAGTCACCACCCCCCTGTCTCCTGATTGTCATCCTCCCACCCTGGATGTGCTTTCCCAGACTTAGCTTCCTGGGGCTCATCTCCCTCTGTCTGTTTAAAGCTCAAAAGAAGGGGCGGCTGGGTGGCTCAGTCGGTGAAGCGTCTGCCTTCGGCTCAGGTCATGATCTCAGGGTCCTGGGATCAAGCCCCATATCGAGCTCCCTGCTCAGCAGGGGGTCTGCTTCTCCCTCTCTCCCCCTCCCCACTGCTTGTTCTCTCACTCTCTCTCTCTCAAGTCAATCAATCAACCAATCTTCAATAAAATATATATATATATATATATAAAGCTCAAAAGAAGGTCCAAGGACCACCTTATTGGGACCCTCTGAGGCTGTTCACAGCACAGATTCCCGGTCTCTCCCACATGTTCTGAAGGGGGGGGGGTCTGGAGTCTGGCCCAGGAACGTGTATTTTAAACTGTCTCTCTCGTGTGTGCTCACAGGGGAGAACCCATCCTCAGTTCTCCTTTCGCTGCGGACTCTCTATCATCCCCCGACTTAACTCTGACACATAGGCGACCTGCACGGGACAGTGATGTCAAGCAGCATCCGTGTAATCAAGTCAGGGGAGACACTGCTGTCGAGGCCCAGGCATCTGGAATTCGTCGGGAGTGAGTCATTTAGAGCTGCGTTTCCCTAGAGATGATGATTTGGACACTGTCTGGGGAGAGGTGACCTCTTTCTAAAGCACCCGGGATTTTTTTGTTGGAACTATTCGGTTCCTGAAATACATTACGTGTGTCTCGGCCTCGTGAAGCAGAGGACTTGAACACTGTAGAGCCTTTCCTTAGGCTCTACGATGACTAAGGTCATCGTTGTGAACATAACGTCCTCTTGTGTGGTGTTCCCGGTGTGGGGAGGGGGCGATCGTACGGTGAGTTCTCAGGATCCACCTGCTTGGGCAAGACCACTTCTCTTGCTCTAAGGTACTTCAATACCTGGTAAGCTTGAAACCAATGAAAAGGTGTTAGGACGTGTCTAATTAAAGATTAAAGAGGATCTGTGTAAGGGATCGTGGGGCTTCCCTGTGGGTAGAGAACAGATTTCGGTTTATGCTCTCTGAAACATCTCTCAGCTATGGGGTGGTGCTGGTGGTGGTGCTGGTGGAGGTGGTCTCCTTATGGATTTGCTCACAATTATGGTCCAGAGAGGTGCTAGCTCTCCATGGGGCGGGGATGTCCCGGTTGTGGGCTTTCCCAATCTACCCACCGACATTCGCTCATGCACGCCTGCATCCAACCAACCGATTCTTTAAACTCAAACTATAAATCTACTGACGTCAAGTGTATGGAGTGGGAGCATCAGTAACTCCAAGTGGTGTTAATTGTCTCCTCCTAGTGGTAGAAGACAGTATATGAGAATGGGGACTGGAAAAACAACAACAAAAACTCGTGTGTACAAAAAAACAAAACAAAACAAAACAAAACAAAAAAACCCATGGGTGCAGTCAGTGTTAGGGTCAATCCTTACATCATCTTCTACCAAATTTTCCAAGATGACCCCATGTTCCACAATTTCCAAAACCAAGTTTTAAGTCCCCCTAGAAAAGCACCTGTGTTTAAAATAAACATGACCACCTACTGCTTAGGCATATTTAGATTCTCCAGGAAAACAGCCACCCTCCTCAGATTTATGAGCACACAGCAGGGAGTGCACGTGGGAGGGAAGGCGCCCAGAGGTACCAGGTGAGCTGCCTGGTATCCCACCAGGCATGCTGGGAGCCAGTGATGCCTTAGACCTGCAGAGAGAGAAGGAAGCAGAGTTCCCAGACCAGAGTGGGTGGGCCGCCTGCAGGGCTGCAGAGGGCACTCCTGACAAAGGCAGGAGGGTTGGTCATGGAACCAGAGTCAGTTCTGGCTCCACCTGAGCAAGTCAGGGAAGTAGGGCAGGGGCAGGGTGCAGAAATGCTGGGGCGTTACCCTTCTGTTCTGGCATCTGTTCATGTTCCATGAGACCCAGGCCACATTGACTATTTGGGGATTTGTAGCTTCTTGGGTCAAGATCAATTCTGTACTTAGAATTTGGTCCTATGTAAACTCTGCTTTCTAAATTGTGATTAAGAGCATCTAGCAATCACAGCAAAACTTAAGAAAAATAGAATTCCTTTTTTAAATTTTTACTTTAAGATTTTGCTTATTTATTTATGAGAGACACAGAGAGAGAGGCAGAGACATAAGCAGAGGGAGAAGCAGGCTCCCTGGGGAGCCTGATGCAAGATTTTATCCCAGGACCCCGGGATCATGACATGAGCCAAAGCAGACGCTCAACCACTGTGCCACCCAGGGGCCCCTATTTATTTTTAGAGATTTTATTTATTTATTTGAGAGAGGGAATGAACCAGAGAGAATATGAACAGGGGGAGGGACAGAGGGAGAGGGAGAAGCAGACTCCCCGCTGAGTACGGAGCCCGATGTGGGGCTCGATCCCAGGACCCCAAGATCACCCCAGGATCATGACCAGAGCCAAAGGCACTCAGCTGACTTAGGCACCCAGGCACCCCTAGAATTCCTTTTATGCCTCATTTAAAATTCAAAGTTCCACCAATCTGGGCCACAGTGGGTTGAACATCTATTAATATACAGTTGGACCCTGAGCAATGCAGAGGTTAGGGATGCCAAACCCCTGTGTAATCAAAAATCCACCTGTTTTAACTTTTGACTCCTCAAAACAATAGCCTACTGTTTACCAGAAGTCTTACCAACTAATGTAAATAGTTGATTAGCACATGGTTTGCATATGTATTGCATAATGTATTCCTGAAGTAAGCTAGAGGAAAAAATGTTAAGAAAATCATGGAAAATGCATTTACAGCGCTGTACTATATTTACTGAAAAAATAAAAGCTGCTTCTGAGCCCCCCCATTCAAACCCATGTGGTTCAAGGGTCGGTTGTACACTCATGCAAATTTTCCATGGGGCCACCAGCAAAGGGACCAAATCACACATTGCACCGACCAGATGTATGGCTAGGGTTCCGGCTTCCTCATCCCACATGCACGCTGATCTGAGGGAAGTGAGACAACACACATCTTTTAATAGAGGTCTCAGCCCGTTAGGTGCTGAGTCCAAAAATCTTAGTAGCACTCCTCTCAAATCTGGGGGTCTCCTTGGCTCAGCCCCCCTTCAGCTCTTATCAGCAAATCCCAAAGAGCAAACCAGGGGAGAGGATGGAGGACATTAGCTCTTACTCTTTCAGGACAGGACTTGGTGACATGAGTTCCTCCCAGCCTCCCAGCCAGTGTGGCCAGAGGGCCTCACCCTGTAGCCTTCCTCACAAGGACCTTCAGGGGTCCCCCGAGGTGCCAATACTCTTTGGGCAAGCGAGCGCGCAGCTTCCCTCCACCCCAACCATGAAAACACAGCAGAAGACGGGCAAGAGAGGAGCAGTGTGTGGGGCGGTCAGCAGGGCAGAGGGGGGCAGGCTGGGGAGGAGAGACAGCTGAGCTTCCATTCCTAGAGCAGATGCCTCTTCTGTGGCCCAGGGTCCAGGCCAGAGCCCCTGTGACCTGGCACCCAGAGCTCAGAGAGGCTAGGAGGGGTGTGGGCTTGCTGAACGGCCTCCCCTCACAACACGGGGGTAGGGGTGTCTGTGTGAGACAGAAAGCCTTTGGCTTATTCCAGAGACGGAGACGCCCTTTTTACAAAGGTATTTTATTTCAGTAAATAAAATAGTGGTTCTTTTAAGAGCATAAAAAAATTGATATAATTTTAAGTTAACCGTACAGGCAGGGAGTTGATCCTGTGACACATCCTCCAATAACCGTTTCCTCTGTCTTCTCAGCTGGAATCCACTCAGGCTGACATGTAAATTGCAAATTCTAGAAAGGAAGACCGAAAGGATGAGCAGGAAATGTCTGTCTTAGCTGCTTAGCATTAGCCCTCATGCTCAGCATCTCAATGCGACAAACAGAAACCACTGAAGTTTATTCACGAACATATTTTCAGCCTCACGATGTTCTGAACATCTACAAGTCCCCCTTGTTTAAAACCGGGCTCCAGGCTGGAGAGAAAAGAAAGCGGCAACCCTGCCGCCACCCTGAGGGCCTAGGTGGATGCCTGAGGGAGGGGAGAGTATGTAGGGCCCCTGCTCGATCTTTCCTTCCTCTTCTCTAAGGCACCACACGAGGACTCTGCTTGGGGCACAAATGCAACCTGCAACCTTTCAAAGAGAACTGCCCTCCCTGGCCTGGTTTACTCCTGCAGGGCCCTCTTTGCTCACCCTTGCTGACCCTGTGAGTTTCAGTCAGGAAAGCACCTCTCCCAAAAAAAAGCAAGGTTCCCTGACAGGAGCTTCTTGAGCCTGCCTGAAGCAGACAGCCTGCCAAGGACTGGCGAGGGCTGATGGGCAGTGTCCTGGTGGGCAGTGGCAGAGGAGGGGGTGGCAGTGTCCTGGTGGGCAGTGGCCAGGTGGGTGGTGGAGCAGTGGGAAGTGGCCTGGTGCACAGTGGTGCAGTGGCTGGCGGGGCAGTGGCCAGGTGGGCAGTGGTTCCGTGTGCAGTGGTGTGGTCAGCAGTGCAGTGGAAAGTTGCAGGGTGGGCATTGGTTGGGTGAGCAGTACCCAGGTGGGCAATGGTGCAGTGGGAAGGTAGGCAGTGGTGCAGTGGCATGGTGGGCAGTGGCAAGGTGTGTAGTGGTACAGGGGGCAGTGGTGTGGTGTGCTTGGGTGCCTTAGGTGGTGGTACAGTGGCCTGGTGGGCAGTGGTGCAGTGGCCTGGTGGGCAGTGGCTGGGTGGGTAGTGGTGCAGTGGCTAGTGGCCTGGTATGCAGTGATTCAGTGTACAGTGGTTCAGTGGGCAGTGGACTAATGGGTAGTGGTGCAGTGTGAAGTGGTGCAATGGTGCAGTGTACAGTGGCTGTTCAGCAGTGGTACAGTGATTCAGTGTGCAGTTGTGTGGTGGGCAGTGGCGCAGTGGGCTTGGGTGCCTTGGGCAGTGCTGCAGTGACTCAGTGTGTAGTTTGGGGATGGCAGTGTTGCAGTCCTATTGACCTTTTTGCAGTGATTTGGTGTGCAGTGGCATGATGTGCAGTGATTCGGGGTGCAGTGGTAGTGTGCACTGGCTTGTGGGCAGTGGTGCAGAGATTCAGTGTGCAGTGGTGCAGTGGTGCTGTGGGCTTAGATGCCTTGGGCAGTGGTGCAGCGGACTTGTGTGCAGTTATTCAGTGTATACTGGACTGGTCTTCTGTGCTGCAATGTGCAGTGATGCAGTGGTGCCGTGGCCTGGTGGACAGTGGTGCAGTGACTCTGTGCAGTTTCAGGGTGTGCAGTGGTGCAGTGATAGTGGCCTTTGTGCAGTGATTTGGTGTGCAGTGGTGCACTGGTGCAGTGTACAGAGGGTGTTGGGCAGTGGTGCAGTGATTCATTGTGCAGTCATGCGGTGGGCAGTGGCGCGGTGGGCTTGGGTGCCTGGGGCAGAGCTGCAGTGAGCAGTGCCTGGTGGGTAGTGGTGCCGTGTGCAGTGGCTGGTGGGCAGTGGTGCGGTAGGCTTGGGTGCCTTGGGCAGAGGTGCAGTGTACTTGTGTGCAGTTCTGCAGTGTGCAGTGGACTGGTCTTCTGTGCTGCAGTGTGCAGTGAGGCAGTGGCAAGTGGCCGGGTGGGCAGTATACAGGTGGAGAGTGGTGCAGTGGGCAGCACCCTGGTTGGCAGTGATGCAGTGCTAGTGGCCTTTGTGCAATGATTTGGTGTGCAGTGGCAGGGTGTACAGTGGTTCAGTTGTGCAGTGTGCAGTGGATGGTGGGCAGTGGTGCAGTGATCCAGTGTGCAGTTTCAGGGTGGGCGTGGTGCGGTGCGAGTGGCCTTTGTGCAATTATTCAGTGTGCAGTGGCATGGTGTGCAGTGATTAGCTGTGCAGTGGTACAGTGACTCAGTGTGCAGTGGTGCGGTGGGCAGTGGTGTGGTTGGCTTGGGCCCCTTGGGCAGTGGTGCGCTGATTCAGTGTGCAGTGGTGCGGTGGGCTTGGGGTCTGTGAAGACTGGTGCCGTGGCTGGTGGCCAGTGGTGCATTGATTCAGGGTGCAGTTTCGGGGTAGACAGTGGTGCAGTGCTAGTGGCCTTTGCGCAGTTATTTGGTGTGCAGTGGCAGGTGTGCAGTGGTGCAGTGACTGGTGGGCACTGGTGCAGTGATTCAGTGTTTAGTGGTGCAGTGGGCAGTGGTGAAGGTGGGCTGGGGTGCTTTGGGCAGTGGTGAAGTGGTGCGTGGATGGGTGAGCAGCAGTGCAGTGGCCTGGTGGGCATTGCCCTAGTGGGTAGTGGTGCAGTGCCTAGTGGCCTGGCGTGCAGTGATTCAGTGTGCAGTGCTGTGGTGGGCTTGGGTGCCTTGGGCAGTGGCACAGTGTGCAGTGGTGCAGTGGTAGGTGGCCGGGTGGGCAGTGGTGCAGTGGTAGGTGGCCAGGTGGGCAGGATACAGGTGGAGAGTGAGGCAGTGTGCAGTGGGGCAGTGTGCAGTGGTGCCATGGGCAGTTTTGCAGTGAGCAGTTCCCTCATGGGCACTGGTGCAGTGGGCCATGGCCTTGTGTGCAGTTATTCCATGTGCAGTGCTGCAGTGTGCAGTGGACTGGTCATCTGTGCTGCAATGTGCAGTGAGGCAGTGCTGCAGTGGTCAGTGGTAGGTAGCCAAGTAGGCAGTATACAGGTGCAGAGTGGTGCAGTAGGCATTGCCCTGGTGGGCAGTGGTGCAGTGCTAGTGGTCTTTGTGCAGTTATTTGGTGTGCAGTGGCATGGTGTGCAGTGATTCGGTGTGCAGTGGTGCAATGGTGCCCTGGCTGGTGTGCAATGGTGCAGTGGGCAGTGGCCTTGAGTGCAGTTATTCAGTGTGCAGTGATGCAGTGGGCAGTGGCCTAGTCATCTGTCCTGCAATGCAGTGAAGCAGTCATGCAGTGTGCAGTGGTCAGTGGCCGGGTGGGCAGTTGTGCAGTGGAAAGTGGCCAGTTGGGCGGTATACAGGGGGACAGTGGTACAGTGGGCAGTGCCCGGTGGCCTTGTGTGCAGTTATTCATTCTGCAGTGGTGAAGTGATTCAGTGTGCAGTGGGGAGTGGTGCAGTGCCTAGTGGCCTGGTGTACATTATTCAGTGTGCAGTGGTGCAGTGGGCTTGGGGATGTGGAGAGTGGTGCAGTGGCCTGGTGGGCAGTGGTGCACTCAGTGAGCAGTTTCGGGGTGGGCAGTGGTGCAGCGCTAGTGGCCTTTGTGCAGTGATTCGGTGTGCAGTGGCATGATGTTTAGTGATTCGGGGGTGCAGTGGTGCAGTGGTGAATGTGCACTGGCTGGTGGATAGTGGTGCAGTGAAACAGTGGGCTTGGGTGCCTTGGGCCGTGGAGAGTGGTGCAGTGGCCTGGTGGGCAGTGGTGCAGTGACTAAGTGTGCAGTTTGGGGATGGCCAGTGGTGCAGTGCTAGTGGCCTTTGTGCAGTGATTTGGTGTGCAGTGGTGCACTGGTGCAGTGTACAGTGGCTGTTGGGCAGTGGTGAGGTGATTCATTGTGCAGTGGTGCGGTGGGCAGTGGTGTGGTGGGCTTGATTGCCTTGGGCAGTGGTGCAGTGGCCTGTGGGCAGTGGTGCAGTGCCTAGTGGCCTGGTGTGCAGTGATTCTGTGTGCGGTGGTGCGGTGGGCTTGTGGGACGTGGACAGTGTTGCAGTGGCTGGTGGTCAGTGGGGCAGTGATTCAGTGTGCAGATTCAGTGGGCAGTGATACAGTGCCAGTTGCCTTTGTGCAGTTTCTCTGTGTGCAGTGGCACAGTGGTGCATTGTACAGTGTGCAGTGCTACGGTGGACTTGTGTGCCTTGGAAGTTGTGCAGTGGCCTGGTGGGCAGTGGTGTAGCGCCTAGTGGCCTGGTGTGCAGTTATTCAGTGTGCAGTGGTACGGTGGGCTTAGGTGCCTTGGGAAGTGGTGCAGTGGCCTGGTGGGCAGTGGTGTAGCGCCTAGTGGCCTGGTGTGCAGTTATTCAGTGTGCAGTGGTACGGTGGGCTTAGGTGCCTTGGGAAGTGGTGCAGTGGCCTGGTGGGCGGTGGTGCAATGGGCAGTGGCAGAGGAGAGCATGGGCAGTGACCTGGTGGGCAGTTTTGGGGTGGGCAGTGGTGCAGTGGGCAGTGGCCTGGTGTGCAGTGGTACACTGGACAGTGGTGCGGTGGGCAGTCCTGGTGGGCAGTGGCCAGGTGGCAGTAGTGTGGCAGGCAGGGCCAGAGGAGAGTGTGGGCAGTGGCCTGGCAGCACGGTGTGCAGTGGTGTGGCAGGTAGGGCCAGAGGCCCAGACGGCTGCAGTGATTGTCACAGTGCACTTCCCTGGATTCAGCGTTGAGGCCCAGGGGCGCATGCCTGCCCTGGGTTCAAATCAGACTCTGCTCTTCACAGGTAGAGCGCTGGCCCTCTCTCAAGCCGGGCAGCCCTCCCAGAGCTGTCGAAGGAGTAACACCACCGTCCAAGAAATGCCGAGCAAAATGCTAGCACGCGTCATGCGGCAGGAGTACTGCCGTTATGACTGCTAAGTGCGCCTTTAACCGGCACAGCGCTGAAAATTCTCTACGGGAATTCGGATGTTTCCAATGTTCGGAAGCGGCATCGCAGGGCGCAGAGGGTTCTGGAGATCACAGCTTCCCGAAGCCCAGGGAGACAGGGCTGTGTAAGATACCGCCCCCGCCCCCATCACTGGGTTTTCAAAACAACAGATGTCCTCACCCAACCAGACTTAATGGAATCCCTCGGGGCCAGGGCCTGGAAATCTGCACTTCTATCAATTCTGATCCATTAGCCAAGTTTGGGGACCGTGATCTAGAAACCCCTGCCACTGTATTTGAATCCTCTAATTTTTAGAGAAGCACAGATTTCAACCCAACAAATGAAGAAAATTAGCTCAGCGAGTGAGAATTAAGGGACGTGCTGTCAGAGGCTTGGTCTGTAATGAGGGTTTAGCAACAACTTAACTGCCTTAACTCAACAGGCGGGGTCCCGGCACCTCCCGTGGGCTCTGTGATAGGCCCAGGACTGGTGCAGAGCAAGACTTCATGCCCGGGGGAGAGGCTGTTGGGAAGGGCCCTCTGGGACTAACAAAGGCAGAGGGGGGAGGAAGTCAGGTCAAAGAATGGCCTGCGGGACTGTGGGGAGTGGCCCCTGGAGGGCACGCATGGGACCTGGCTGAGGACACTGGGGGAAGGGATTCTGATGCCATTCCTGGGAGTCAAACTTCATCCTGAAGATACAGCAGGGTCTCCTAACCTTAGGTGCAGGCATGCGTTGCAAAAGACCTGTCGACCCCCTCCTCCTCCCAACTCCCGTCTGCAATTTTAGGTACAACTGTAGGGGTTTCTAGTATGTCTGCTTCTGTGGGGAGAAGGTCCACAGCTTTCAGGGAATTTTCAGGGGTCTGGAGACCCAGGACTCATTAAGTACCACTGCCCGCCCCCCCCCCATCCCCATAAGGGAGCAGCAATGCCCACCCTCCCATTCCCCTATAAGGGAGCGGCACTGTGCACCCCTCCCAACCCTCCTAAGAGAGTAGCACTGCCCCCCCCTCACTCCCCCCATAAGGGAGCAGCAGGCTTGGAGCCGAGGCAGGGACAACCATCTGCGTGCCCTGGCTCCTCTGCACCCAGGGCGCAAGGGTCGGGGTCTGCGCACCTCACCTCCTACAGGTGTTCACATCGGACAGCAGGAGGGTCTCATGCAGCCTCAGACCCAAGGGACGAGCCCACCCGAGCTCACCGTATCCTTTGACGGTGCGAAGTCCCTGTACCTTTGATTCCCCTTCAGTTATCCTTCTTCTCTGCCTGCTTCTTTTTCTCGGCTTCCAGTTTTTGCTGTTTGGCTTCCAACCTTTTCCTTTGGTATATTTTGACTCCGGCAAATGCCAGGCAGAGAATTAAGGTTTTCGCTGCCAAGATATACAGCAGCAGGGGCACATGTTCAAGGACCTTAAGGGAGAAAGCAAGCGACATAGAACATTCTAAACGCTCTATGATTGATAAGAAATGTTTCTTTCATGTTCCTTCATCTAACAAACCTTGACTGTACACCTGTTAGGTAACAGGCACCAGGCTAAGTGCTGGGGCTTCGCCAGGGACCAGGACAGACAAGGTCCCCGGCCCCACGCCAGCGCGCCCTCCGTCACTCCCTCGAGGCTGGCTTCGCAGGAGAGCCACCCGTGGACCGCAGACATAACTCTGGTCTCTCACAACAGGACCCTGCACTTTGCCAGGCCCCCAGGCCCTCTGCTGCTGAGGCAGCACCTTTGTCCAGAGAAAGGACCCGAGTCGGCGGGCCTGGGGGATGGCTCTGCTCTGCCACAGACAGACCACACGACCTGGGTCAGTCGCTTCTTGACTTTCTGAGCTTCTGTCTCTTCAAGGGAGTCTGGAACAGACCTTCCTTCTGCAGTCTCCCACTTCAGCAGGCTTACAATTTCCTCTTGGTTGTGGCTACTCATTAGCACTGGGATTTGAAGGTAAAATAAATATAAAAGGACAATAAAATTCAAAACATGAGGGGTCCCTGGGTGGCTCAGCTGCCTCTTGATCTCAGCTCAGGTCTTGATCTCAGGGCTGTAAGTTCAAACCCCGGGCTGGGCTCCACACTGGGTGTGGAAGCTACTTAAAAAAAAAAAAAAATTCAAAACATTGGAATTACTATTTATTAACCGTTCGTATAATTTCCTATTAGAGGGAAGCTTTAACCCATGGGCTAAAATGACGTCTGGGGAATAACTATGGATTTGAATTACTCTCTGTACCTGCAGGTGCACTATTATGACAGTCTGTACAGCAAAACAGTATCTCAAGGCAAATACTATACTTGCTTTATTTTTTTTATTTTTTAAAGATTTTATTTATTTATTCATGAGAGACACACACACACACACACACACACACACACAGAGAGAGGCAGAGACACAGGCAGAGGGAGAAGCGGGCTCCATGCAGGGAGCCCCATGTGGGACTCGATCCCAGGACACCAGGATCATGCCCTGGGATGAAGGCAGGTGCTAAACCTCTGAGCCACCCAGGGATCCCCCAAATATATTAAACTATTAATTATACTTGGTTTATAAACATGATTAGTATGATCTGAATGATGATTTATGAGCTTTTTGTGATTAAAAGTTCGTTCTCAAAAAAAGATATGCTTTTTTTTTTTTTGAGTGATCACCATTCCAGAGAATAGGTAGGATTTATTCCAATGAAATCATTAAACTGCCAAACTTATTCTAGGCAATTCCTATATAATGAGATTCTGTGGGAAGCACATTGGTCTCTCCTTGTAACAGGTGAACTCAACTAGTCAGAAAAAACTGTGGTCGGGTACCACATGCTCACGGCGCTGGAGGGCTGGGAGATTTCACAGATGACTTAGTCCACCTCCTTGCTTCATGGAGGAGAATAGAGCTCATGGTGGGGAGACACCAGCCCCCGTCACACAGCTCCCTCATGATGAGGCCACACTCAGAGTGAAATGTTCTAACCTCTCTGCCACTCTTCTTTCCACTGCCCCCTGACTTCTCAGGAAGTGGAATTAGTGAAATCATAAATTATGTACATAGGTGGTTGTTCAATTTTATTAAAATGCTCAGACCTAGATGTAGAGCTCACACGCAGGAGATGTAGCATCAGTTAGGCCTCCCAGGGTCCCTTCTGCGCTTTCAGCGCCTCCTATACATTTTCCCCTGGAACCCACATCGCATCCACATGAGGCAGGGAGTCTGTCCTAACTCTGTGGCTGAGAAAGTGCAAAGTCTGGAAAGGTTAAGGTTTGACCGAGCTACGACCGGTCCAAAGCCTAAACTCTCTTCATCATTACACCACACTGTAATGTATACCACGCTCTCCCCAACCCTTACCAGATTTACAAGTAAATTATGCAAGTAAGTGGTGTCTTGGCTACTGAATTTACCAAAGGCAACTAGATTCACCACCTCTGAAGTTATTTAGCTGGTTACTTATGGATGTTTGAGGCAGGCTGCAATGTGATGCAGTAGCAATATGCCGGATATGAAAAGGAGGAACTCAAATATTTAAATGGCTTGAATTTAACTAAAACGGTAAGAACACAAGAACACTGAGTAACTGGATAATAATTTTCACAGCGAAGTCATTTTAATGGTAAACGATAAAAAGAACATACGTGCTTTAGAAAAGATCGCTCCAGCAAGAGCATAAAAGACTAAACAAATTGGCCCAGTGAAACTGTTTCTCCTAACAAATATAAGCAGCTTAGAACACAGACCCTCCTCACTCAGACTTACAGCTAACCTCCACTACTTGCCCCAAATAATCCCCTAATTCATCTATTTTCTTGAAGAGGCTTCAAGAAAGGAAGCTTGACTCCATGTTTATCAACCAGCAATGAAAGAAAAAAAATGTTAAATGTTCTTTTATTTTACTTCGTTGGAGGCAAAAATCAACAGTTTAGAGGTGGGGACCCCTTTTTATGATCACTAGGTTGATCGAGGCCAACTGAGCACTAATCCACATGAAAGAGTTACTCTTCCAGTTCTCTCCATCTCTACAGCTGGGCCTGTGGGTCCAATGATGAGGGTCATAGGGTCCCTATCACAGCCCATGGTTCCCTGTGATCTGAACATGAGACAGCTTTAGCTGTTACACGAATGGAGATCTCAACCGGAAGTCAGAAAATGCACCGAATTGGGAATGCATCAACACTGGACAGAGGTATGTGGTTTCACGATTTACTTTCTTCCTGAAGGTAGCGGAGAGGTAGCGGAGAGAAGGCAGCAAGAGGCTGAAGCTTGGGGCCTAGGACAGGGCACAGCAGCGGCAGCAGAGGTCAAGGACACTATGCAGGGCTCTACCCCTCACGGTACTAAGCTTTAGCTGTGCTCAATCGCTTTGATTTCTATCAAACCCTTATTTTAACTCTCAGAACAGACCAACCTTCAAGGGGGTAAGTGAATAAAATATTGTGGGGGTCGACGAGATCTATACCAATTTTTAAAATAAATCCCCAATACTTGTGTAATGAGAACGGATATTTATTTATTTATTTGACAGAGAGAGAGAGGGAGAGAGAGCACAAGGTGGGTGGTGGCAGGCAGAGGGAGAGGGAGAAGCAGGTTCCATGCTGAGCAGGAAGCCCAATGCTGGGCTCGGTCCCAGGACCCCAGGATCATGACCTGAGCCAAAGGCAGACATTTAACTGAGGCCACCCAGGCACCAGAGAATGGCTAATTTTTTGAGTAATGAGGTCACACTCCATTGCTAATGCAGGATGTTGACTGTCACTGACGGCCCCAGGCCACTGAGCCCGAAAAGGAAGCCCGAAGGCTCTACGGTGAGCTATAGAATCCTCCCACCTTCCAGAGCTCTGTGTAGTCAGGCCACTTGTTTCTGACAGCACAGGGAAGGGCCCCCTTCTAAACATGAGGTTGCTCCCCGGCAGCCCCAGGGCTGTGTGTCTGCTCCAAGTTGGAAAGGTTTGGGCAGACTTTGTCCCTGGCACAAGAAAGAACTCCTTTTCTCACAAGCAGGATGGGCCAGGGTGGTCAAATGGGTTGTCTGTCACTCTGATTAAAAACTTTCTCTGCAGGGTGCCTGGCTGGCTCATGCAACTCTTGATCTCAGGGTTTTGAGTTCGAGCCCCATTTTGGGAGCAGAGATTATTTAAAAATAAAATCTTTAAGGGTGCCTGGGTGGCTCAGTCTGTTGAGCATCTGACTCTTAATTTTGGCTCAGGTTGTGGTCTCGAGGTTGTGAGATTGATCCCGAGTTGGGCTCTGTGCTGGGTGTGGACCCTGCTTGGGATTCTCTCTCTCCCTCTGCCTGCCCCTCCCCGCTCCATGGGCATGCTCTCTCTCTCTCTAAAAACAAAACAAAAAAAACAAAAAAAAAACAAAACAAACAAACAAAACCACAACAACCACGACAAAAACTTTAGAAATTAAATCAATAAAAACTATCTCTGTGCCCTGCCTTAGACCAGTGTTAACCCCACACTTAAGAGATCAGAAACTCTGGGGGTAGTCCCACCATCTGTTTTAACAAGTCCTCAGGCGGTTCTGATGCACCCTTAGGTGTGAGCGCTGCTGCCTTGGTGCATGACGCATAACGATGAACTTTGCTCACATGGCCTCTTGTCCCCACTGACTGTGGCCACCACAAAGAGGACGAGCCCTTCCCTAAATCCCACCCCATACTTTCTGCTTCTGTCCCTTATATCCCCCACTGTGCCTTGTCTTTCCTTCTCAGCCTTTCTGCTGTGAGCTCAATATATGCTAAACAAACACTCCTGTACTTTCAACACCTTCAAGAAACCCTCACTCTGCCCCTTGACTTCAGCCAGGCTCGTCCTAGACAAGAGTCCTCACAGTCCTCCTGCATTGCGCCGAAACCCCTACTCAAAGGAGCTGGGGAAGGAGAGGGGTTCTCCACCTTCTAGCTCCCTGGTCCTCCTTCCAGATCATTCCAGCCATCCTTGCAATGCAAAGCTGGTGGATGTTTTGAACAAGGAAATAAATGCTCATAATTGAAAAAAAATACATATGATGAGATTGCAAGTTTGAAAATACATACACGCTACAGTTACATATACAGAAAAAGAATGGAAGAAAACACACCAAAATTGTTACTAGTAGCGATCTCCGGAGGGTGAGATGACACGGTTTTTACTGAATTTCACAGTGTCAAAGAATCTACAATAAGACACATTTTAGTGGCTGCTGTCTTAACCAATCTTTGCCACACCCCATGTACTTCAGGAGAGATCTGCTGACCGCTGCCCACAGCCCATCCAATGCTCACAGCTTGCAGGCTCGCGGCGGCTGAGTCTGTTCTACCCAGGACAGCTGTGTTTATTCCTCAACCAGTTTAAGTTGTACTTGATGGTATTATAATGGATCATTTAATTACACACAACACTGATGAGACATGGCTATATTATATAAAGAAAAAATTGTTTCCGTGAAAACTGAACTGAATGCTTTCGGTGCATTTTCAAATTTAGGTTGGAAAAAAACAAAACAAAACCAAGAACGGTTAGCAACACAAATGTAAAAGATTATCAAAGAAAGACAGAAAAACCTGGAAAGGTTTTGTGTGTTGTTTCATAAAATACTAACCCACTTTAAAGAAACCAAAATGTGAAACCGTAAGTAAAACTTTAAAGCCATGATTTTTGCAAGAGAAGTGAGGCAGATCCAAAGTCACCGTACGGCCACTCAAAGAAAGGGCCTAGCCCTCCTCCAAGGGTCTGGGGAATAAATGTACTTCTAAATGTTTTAATTTAAAGTAGAATATTAAGTATCATTAGGATTCCTGCTTTAGCCCGATTTTTTCTTTTTAATCAACCTACATCTCCAGAATGAATTATTCTGAATGCTTACAGTGAGGGGAAAGAAAAAAAAAAACAACACCCCAAGTCATCATGTTTAAAACAATTCTCACCTTCCAGTTCATGTTGGACTGATTGTGAATTCACTCTGGGTCGATGCAGGCCCACGCAGACCAGAGCATGAGGAGAGGAGCTGGGAGGGCAGGTCTTGCTGTTCTGGCGGGGAAGAGAAGACATGGGTCACTTGAGGTTTTCCGGAGCAGATCGCCTTAGGAAGACCTCTTTGATGGAGAGAAAGGGTGCATGAGCAAAGACAGCAAGGGTTGCAGAGAGGAGGGGTCAGTCTCCCCAACAGGGTGACCCAGAGCCTGGGGGGAAGCAGCCTGGCTCGGGGCTGACACAGGCTTGGGTCCCTGTGAGCAGAAAGGTCTCCTCAGCTGCTCTGGGCTGAGGGTAGGAGCACAGCCCCGAGCAAATGTGGCAGCCCTGCTCTTAAGAGGACATGTGCTTCCCCCCATTCCTTTCATCTGTGCGCATGAGAGCTCAAGGCCAAAATTGACTTCTCCACCCATCTCCTGTCCTGAGCAAGAGCTGGCTTGTGGATGAGCGTCTTTCTGTTTTTCAGGTCCTCGGAGTGTTAACTAAGCTAATCTTGTTTTTTAAAAAAAATACCAAGGAGGGGAGTAAATGCTAGGGAAAATTGTCCTTTGAAAGCAATTCCTATCTAGAATTTCATCTAAAATGTGAGCGAGACCTAGGGGAAGGTGAAGCAGGGCGGGACAGGTCAGGGACACCGCCAGAGCGCAGCCTTTGCTCACGGCCTCATATGTCACTATTTTTAGAATACAGCACATACCCCAAGAGTTAGAAGACTTGAGCTGTGGATGAAGAACCTACTACACTCTGGTAAGTGACTTCCCTCTCGGGGCCTTGGTCCCATCTGGAAATGAAGAAAGGGGGTGTCAACTAGCTGGGCTCTAGGGCCCCAACTTTTTCTGAAATTTGGCAACTTACAGCATAATCATAGTTTCATTTCACATTGCCCACCTGCACGAGAGCACACTAGCTGAATGAACTCATGCAGTCTTCCCATCAGCCCTAGGAGGCAGAGGTGACTGTTCCATTTCAGAGATGAGGAAACAAAGTCTATGTAACATGTCCAGGGGTCACATGGAGACCGGGATTTGAACCCCATCTAATGTGGTGTCTTAAGCTGATGTAGGCAGAAAGCTCTGCATTCCAGAATCACGCAGACGCTTGTCTTTAAATGTACTTAGAATTAAGAAAAGCACAGGAAAATTTCACAGGCCTTTGGAATGGGGATAATAATGTTTTACTAAAACTTTTACCTACAAAAGCATAAATATAGAAAATTCGTACCTCATCTATTCAAGGTCATAGTATCTGGAAAACATGCTGGTAGGCTGGCACAAGATTACTAACTTTTCCCCATGACTTCTTTCAAAGCCAGATAAGTTAATGAAAGGAATGTACACCATAAATCTGTTTAAATCTGATGACAGTGATTGAAGGTGCTCGTTCTCTTCATGGATAAATGACCCGTTTGTCTTTTAGTAGCAGCAGATTCTGACTTGGACCAGAGAAATATCTTCCTAGCATGTCATAACCTGTTGCTAGAATTTTCACTTTCAGGAATCTCGGATAATCGCAGGGATTAGCCATACTGTAACTTGCAACGTTTAAGGTCACGTAAATTTTATTCTTACAGCTCTTGCTCTAATTGAGTTGTGTATAAATATAATAGGTGAGCTTGGTGGTTCCTAATTCTCTGAGGTCATATTAATGTATGAATGTAATTAACATACTAATAACATGAATTAATAAAGGAACTGATGGATTAATGTAAGATACCTCAATGGATTAATATAAGATATTGATTCCCAAGGTCAAGGATAACAAGTAGATCCAAAAAGCTTATGCAAGGAAATGAAAAAGAACACCTAGTTGGGCACCTGGCTGGGTCAGTCAGTAGAGCATGCAAGTCTTGATCTTAGGGTGGTGAGATCGAGCCCCACAGTGGGTGTGGAGATTATTTAAGGAAATAAGGAAAAAAAAAAAAAAGGAGTATTGCCTTAAAACATCACCACCACCCAATGATCTGGCCCTCTGGCAACTCAGGACTACGGTTACTACTGATGTGACCTTGGACAAGTTGCTTGGCCTCCCTGAGCATCAGGTCCCTCATTTGTAAATTCTTCAGGGGTTGGATTGTAAACAGGAAGCAGCATGTTCAGCAAATGAAAAACGTTACATAAATATCAACTGTTACTGTCATGGTAAATATCTCTCTTTCTGCTAATGGACATGCCACGCTTAAGAACTATAAACAAGGGGCAATCAAGGCAAAATGCAGTCAATGCAAGACAGCAGGGACCAAGAGGACTGGAGAGCTGGACTCTAGTTGTGGTGGTGCCAACAGCAGGCATGTGACCTGGGGCAAACCATCCACCTCTCTGAACCAAAATATTCTCTTTTTTGGGGATCCCTGTGTGGCTCCGCAGTTTAGCATCTGCCTTCTGCCCAGGGCATGATCCTGGAGTCCTGGGACCGAGTTCCACATCAGGCTCCCTGCATGGAGGCTGCTTCTCCCTCTGCCTGTGTCTCTGCCTCTCCCTCATGAATAAATAAATAAAATCTTTTAAAACTAATAAAAAATGTAATTTTAAAAAATAAAAAATTAATTAATTCAAAATATTCTCATTTTAAAAATCAGAATTCAAAGAACTCTGCCACTCTAGAATTCCTAAGTCACCATTCTTTCTGATATCACAGCATCTGACTATGACACGTTACTGGCAGTGTCCTCAATTTCAAGCGGAGAGTGATGACTTGCAAGCTCTTTAGAAAGAGACATATTTAGTCAACCTGCAAACAAAGTAGTGGAAGAGGTGCAGTGAGAGGGCAGGAGACAAGCAGGTTGATCAATCCAGCTCATTCCCACCCCCTGCCTCCAACTGATACCTTCCCCCCTCCCCCTGCAATTACAGCAGCCAACTCAGCCCTTTCTGTAGCACCCCAGCAGGATTTCAGAGCAAAGGAGAACAACTGAGAAAGCTAAAAACATCCGCAGGCTCTTAGCTCCAGCACCGTAGGTGCACACCTGCGGCAGCATTAGACACAGGCGCAGGTGGTATCTGAGGGCCGCACTGCAAAAGCCAACGAGACAGGGGCAATTCTGAGGTATAAACTCTATGAAGTGTAGGGAGTTTTAGACTTTCTCTGGACTCATCCACGATCTTAGCTTAACATCTGAAAAATAGCAATGGCTTGGATAGAAATGGTTCTGTCTCCTTTACTGCAAAAAAAAAAAAAAAAAAGTCTCATTTTTTTTCCTTTGCCAGTTTTCTCCCCCAAAACCAGAAGCCCCATCCACCGAAGAAAGCAATCGGGGGGGGGGGGGGGGGATTCCCGGGTGGCTCAGCGGTTTGGCACCTGCCTTTGGCCCAGGGCGTGACCCCGGGGACCTCCCTGCATGGGGCCTGCTTCTCCCTCTGCCTGTGTCCCTGCCTCTGTGTCTCTCATTGATAAATAAAATCTTTAAAAAAAGAAAAAAGAAAGCAATCTGAACAGAATATTGTCCACAATCTACGTTTCCTTCTTGGCACGCCTAACCACGTCCAGGGCCGTCTGTGCTTGGTGCCTCCGCCACTAAGCGGGACCCGTCAGTCCGAGCCTAGCTAGCGCGGTCGCATCCCCAGGCTCTCCCCGGGGCACCCCAACTCTTCCCCCGCTCATTGGCAGTTGAGAGGTTCGGGGGGGTGGTAGGCAGCTGCAGGTGCCCGGGCCGCGGACCCCGCGAGGCCTGGACGGCCGGGCCGGCCGGGGCGACGACCCGCAGGTGGGGGCTGCGGCGGCTGTCACCCTCCCGCCCCCGCCCCCGCCGCGCCGACCCGGCGCCGGCCGGCGGGCATCCGCGACAGCAGGCGCAGACGCGGGGCGGCCACGCGACTCCCCAGCGCCCTAAAGAGCGGCCGGGCTTCGAGTCAGGCTCCGCTGACCGATGTCACCCACTTACAGCTGCAGGCCGCGGAGGAGCCGGCGCCAGGCCTGCACAGGAAGCGAGACTCCCAGCGTGCGGGGAGGAAACTACACATCCCGAAATGCACCGCAGCGCGCGCCGGCGCAGTGGGCCCGGGCTGCTGGCGGGGGCGGGGCGGCGCGCAGGCGCAGCGCGGGGCGGGTCACGATTGGTGGTCCAGCCGCGGAGATACGCGGGTCCAGCGCTCACCTGAGCTGCGGGCGGGCGGACGCGGGGTGTCAGGCGCCCAGAGGATCGAGTTTTCCAAATTTAGCGTTCATCTTGTTTGACAAAATGCGTGCATCTTCCCCTGGGACGGCGCCAGCCCGCGGTGCTGGCTTCCCGGGCTCCCGCTTCAGCGCGCGGCCCCTGCCCCACGGGAGGGCGCGCCCGACCCCGGATCGAGGCCGGGGAGACCCGCGGGCATGTTCCCGGGGCTCGCTCTCCGGGCCCGGCTCCCCCCCGGGACTGAGGTCCCCTGCAAGCGGAGACTGAGCGGCTGGCGCGAGAGAAGGCGCGGCTTGGCAACGACACGCTCTGCTGGATCCGAACCGGGGGGTCGAACGCCAGATCGCATTGTGCCGTGTGTGGTGGTGAAGGACAGGATGTCGGGGTGCAGAGGAAGGGACAGCCCGAGCGGCGGAGGCTTTAGTTCTGCCCACAAGCCAAGTTTTCCGATAGAAAGTGACAAAGCTAGGGATGCTCTATGGCTCGGTGGTTGAGCGTCTGCCTTTGGCTCAGGTCTGACCCCCCCCCCCCCGGGTCCTGAGATCGAGTCCCACATCTGGCTCTTCGGGGATGAGCCTCTCTTTCATCCCTTTTAGTCTCTGCCTCTCGCTGTCTCTGTGTCTCTCAAGAGTAAATAAATGAAATCTTTAAAAAAAAAAAAGGGGGTGGGGGTGGGGGACAAAACTAGCTTTGTCCTGAGCACTGTGAGGTCCCACTGAAGTCTCACAAGAAGACCCTACAGGAGGTAAAATAACCAACTCGCAGGTGAGGAAGTGGAGGCACTAAGAGATTAAAGGGATTTGCTCAGGGTTGTTTTTACATTTTATTTATTTATTCATGAGACAAAGAGAGAGAGAGAGAGACAGAGGCAGAGACACAGGCAGTGGGAGAAGCAGGCTCCATGCAGGGAGCCGGACTCGATCCTGGGTCTCCAGGATCAGGCCCTGGGCTGAAGGCAGCGCTAAACCGCTGAGCCACTCGGGCTGCCCTCTGCCCAGGATTTTATTTATTTATTTATTTATTTATTTATTTATTTATTTATTTATTTATTTACTTATTTATTTATTTATTTATTATTTTTATTTTTTATTGGTGTTCAATTTGCCAACATATAGAATAACACCCAGTGCTCACCCCGTCAAGTGCCCCCCTCAGTGCCCCTCACCCAGTCACCCCCATCCCCTCCCCACCTCCCCTTCCACCACCCCTAGTTCGTTTCCCAGAGTTAGGAGTCTCTCATGTTCTGTCTCCCTCTCTGATAGTTCCCACTCATTTTTTCTCCTTTCCCCTTTATTGCCTTTCACTATTTTTTATATTCCCCAAATGAATGAGACCATATATTAGAAACGACAAATACCCACCATTTGCTTCGATGTGGCTGGAACTGGAGGGTATTATGCTGAGTGAAATAAGTCAATTGGAGAAGGACAAACATTATATGCCCAGGATTTTAAAGCCAACCAGTGCCACAGCTGGAAGCTGATGCTCAGTAGTCTGGATGTAGACTCCCATATGTAGACTCCTATCAGGACAGCAAGTACCATGAGCTCCTTTTCCAACCTCTTCTGAACTCTGCTGTAGGAAGGAGGTGGGATTCAGGTCATATGGAGCCAGTCATCCAAGCAGACCGAGCTCTAAAAGCAAAGGGGGTTGGGGCAAGGTGGGGAACCCAGCAAGTTGTTTGAATTGGCATCTTAGTTGCTGAGTTGAAAATAGCCAGCCTGGGATTTGGGGAATTGATGCTGAAAGTGGCAGACGGGGGGGCATGGGGTTTCAACTACTGTATACCCAACATGCATCTAAGGATTCACCATTTCTCCCATCCCCTAAAAGTAAAGTTGGCTAATAACCATCTACCTTACCACTACACTTTCAGTGATGATAATAAAATAGACTTTCTTAGGAGAATCTAAATTTCTTTCCCTCCATTTGGTTTCCTATGTCAAAGATAAAGCCAGAAACTAGTGAAAGCCTTAAGGACAGACTTTATTCAGTAACTTCTGCAGGAGAGAAGAGGGTCCAGTGTGAACTAAAGTCAACTTTGGCTTATGCAGCGGTAACTGGGCATTTTAAAGGAGAATGAGGGAGTGAGGTCAGTTGAGCAGAATCAGGAAAGTGGACGTTTACAAAAACCGGGGGATTAGTCAGTCTGATGTGGTTTTGTTAATAGGCACTTATCTGAAAGACAGTGGGGTAGGTTAGAGCAATTGGGTCGAGAGAGTTACCTTTGTGAATGCTGGCATTTCAGGGACAAGACAGTTCTGGGTCTTGATATAAAAAGATTTATATCTAAAAGAGGGAGACAAAAGATTTATAATTCCAAGTTTTCTAAAGTAACTGTTCTCAGAGGGGATTCAGGGAGCTGATCTGTTTATCTCCAGGTTTTGGCTGGAACCAATGATAAATTTTTCTGGCAGCTTGTTGAACTTTCTCAGGCAGGCACTCCAAACAGGGCTGGGGTCCTCTTAGTGATGAGGCCTTGAGCTGTTAGAAGCTATTCTAGTGTTTGTTCAAATCTCCTACTGTGGAGAGAGGGACAAAATCACTTGCACCAAGTGTCTATAGGCCAAGGTTGAGGCCCACTTGAGAGCTCAGAAGAGCCTGACCAGAGCTTAGTGAAGAAGATAGTCTTGGTCACCTGGTGGAAACATTGGATCTTTGGGTCCAGACCCAAGGCCAGGATTTTGTAGTTGAAGTGGCCCCTCTGGGCACACTGGGATGAATGTTCTGTGTGCAATAGCATTTCTGGGTTTCTGATCTGAAGAAGGAGGCCACTCTTGCCACATCTGCTCTGGGAATGCAAGTGGCTTTCCATAACCCTGTACATAATGCTCATGTTAGCATAATTGCACATCTGTTACCAAGAAACCCAAATGTTGTAGCTACCCCACTCTGGAGATGTAATCCTTGTAATCAATGGAAGACATCCTACAAGCATGACTTGAAGAAGGACTTCTTTTTTGAATTTTGTCTTAGTACCCTGGGACTTGAGGCCCTACATGCAATTGCTGTGCCCCAGCTGATGGGGAGATGGCAGAGAAGAAAGATAAGCTTGGAGGCCCAAAGCAATGGCCCCATACATGGGTCTTGGCTCTGACTTCCTACTCTCAGCTACTCAGAGAGTAGACTTTCACTAAGTTAGGCCTGCTCTCCTGTCCCTGTTCTAGCTCTGCCCACAGTGTTTCTTTTATAACCTGTCATGTCCTATCATCGTGATGTTTATGTACCTGACTCTCTCTAATGAGTAGACTGCTCCAGCTCAGAGTCTTGTTCACCTCCTGGGGTCTATGCTAGTGGCCCCAGTAGATAGGTGTTAAATATTGCTTGGTTTAAGTAACAGATGAAGTCACCTAATTTGTGAGCTGGCATCTATAATATAAAATATCATCAACTAGATATCATCAACTGTCTAGCTTTTCTTTTAAAAAAATAGATTTTTATTTATTTATTCATGAGAGATACACACAGAGAGAGAAACAGAGACATAGGCAGTGGGAGAAGCAGGCTCCATGCAGGAAGCCTAATGTGGGACTCGATCCCGGTACTACAGGATCACAACCTGAGCCAAAGGCAGACACTCAACCACTGAGCCATCTAGGAGACCCTAACTGTCTAGCTAGTTTGCTAGCCTTGCTGATGCAATTAGATCCTTTCTGTACCATTGGTCTCTTGAAACAGAAGTAAGAATAAATAATTATTATATATAAATAATATAAATAAATAATATAATAAATATAAATGGAAGAAGATAAACGGGATCAAAAGAATGCTATTTATAAAGCAATGTTACAACCTTTCCTTATTTTTTCTATAATAACAAGAACTTCTAAGTTTTCTGGAAAACTTTAAATGTTAAAAATATGTTTCTGTTGTACTGGTTAGTTCTTAAAGATGCTATTTCTTTAAGTGAACTATTACCCTGGGTTATTAGTAAAGTTAATTTGTCACATAGGAAATAATGTTTCATAAGCGAGAAGGTTCAGTGATTTATTAGCCACCCCTTTATCCCCACTGCCAGTATACAGGCACTTTACTTCAAATTTGACTTTATTTTCACTAACTTGACAAAATTTGTCAAATCTGACATCGATTCAGATGACATTTATATTGCCCAGAAAGTAAGAGAAGTCTTCAGCATAAAATATGGCTCTGATGAGCAAGTATAAATCACTGAGATTAAAATGTCATCAGTGTTGATGGAGCAGCCGCATGATCTCCATGAAAATTCTCAACAGAAAGCAAGGAACTTAGTGTCTTCTAAGCAATGGCAGCTTGGATTTTCTCCATGGCAGGGGCATCTCTTCATATCCGGATATCAGACGTTAGCCTTATGCCTTTCCCACTTATCAAGGACACATTTTGAACCCTGCTGCACCCATGTTCTCGTGGATGGTGGTCTTTGATTCTTCTAGATTCAAGATTTGACTCTTGTACTTCTCTTGCCAATCTTCTACGATGTACTGGTGGTAGGGGTCATTGGAGTGCTCTCGTCGCTTGGATTTCACCGTGCTCACCAGGATGGCTACAATGATGAAAGAGAACATTCCGATCATCACCATGAGGTACAAGATGACATAGTAGAAGTTCTCAGCATCAAGTTTGGTTTGCAGGGCCTCTTGCTCAGCTGTCGTGTTCCTGCGCCAATTGTCCATATAAGTAATAAAAATCTTTTTGAAGACATCTTCCAGGGTCTGTGTCAGATTGGCTAAAGTAGGCATATCTCCCTCCTTCTGCAATTTGAATAATAAAATAGAACAAGGTTAAGAACGCTGACTCTTTCTGCCTTTGGCTACTTGAAGGGATAAAGAGAGGGGAAATGCAGAGGGGGAGGTAATATAATTTATTCTTTACATAGCTGGTGATTGATTGAGTGCATATTTTTTTTTATTCTTTAAGCTTTGCACATGCATTTTTTGCGTGCAGGATACCTGACAATAAAAATTTGACAGAGGACATAAAGTTAAATATAGTATCTCCATTTCCATATGTGAATAAACATAAACATGCAAATGACGATGGGAAAAAGACAGGAAATAGTTCAAAATGTTGATGGTGGTATACCTAACGAAAATTTTTTCCTTCTTTATACTTTTCTCATGTTCCAAATTTTCATCAATCACTTTGCACTACTTTATTTTTAAACAGATGGGTCACCTCACAGTGGCTAGCATAATGCCTTGTTCATCACAGGCATTGGCAGGCATCAGGGGAATGAAGAGGTGACTCATGCCTGACCCGCGTTTTCGGAGAATTTTGAGGCAGAGGATTGCAAGGGGCACTGACGGATTTTGCTGTCTGTTCCATCTCCTTTGACTACACAGTGCTTTTTCCAGGAATCCCAAAGAGAGGAGTGTGTACGCCTACATTTGAAAGAAGTGTCTTAGGCAAGTGGCACAATGAAACAACCTGAGAGACCATTCATATTCCTCAAATCCAACTCTCCTCTCCCTCCTCACTGGCACTGCCTGGCCACCAACATCTCTCACCTCGATGACACAACACAGTGCAATGCAGCCTCCCCAAAACCGTCTCCTAGGAGCATATCTGTCCCTCAGTGCCCTCCACAGCTGTCACTGTGCTCTTTTTAAGAAGGAAATCGAATCATATCCCCTTGCTTTTGAAACGATTCAGTACCTTCCTGTAGTACTTAAAATAAAATCCTAGTTTCTTCGTAGGATTCACCTGGCTTGGCCTGAACTCACCCCTGACCACCTTCCCAATCCAACTACTCTATCCCCATGACAACTGGTCCTACTGGCCTTCCTTCCTCCAAGTCGGTAAACGTTCTGCCTCAGGACATTTACACATTCTCTTCCCTCACCCTGGAATAATTTTTCCTTTCTGTTCCCTCTTCTACCCCCTTTATCTTTTTGGTCCCAGCTTAACTGTCCCTTCTGAGAACACTCCCTGGCCCTGCTCTAAATCAATTCTTCGGGATCCCTGGGTGGCGCAGCGGTTTAGCGCCTGCCTTTGGCCCAGGGCGCGATCCTGGAGACCCGGGATCGAATCCCACGTCGGGCTCCCGGTGCATGGAGCCTGCTTCTCCCTCTGCCTGTGTCTCTGCCTCTGTCTCTCTCTCTGTGTGACTATCATAAATAAATAAAAAAAATAAATAAATCAGTTCTTCCCCTCACCCCCTGCCACCACCACTTATCTCCAATAGCATCTTATTTTTTTTTCTTCAAAGCTGTTGTCACAATATGCATTCATGATGTGTGTATATTGCTGGGGTGTGTGTGTGTGTGTGTGTGCGCATGATTATTGGCTTTTGGTGTCATCTCTCCTACTCAACTGTCATCTCCATGAGGACAGAATTCATATCACCTTTGCCTATCTTGGTACAGCAAATGTTGGCATAGAGCCTGATACATCAAAGGCACATAGTGGATGTTTAATGAATAAATGGATGTGCCGGGCATAGGCAAGGCATTGGAAATGCAGAGATGATGAATATGAGATTTCTGTCTGGGGAAGCTCAGTGTAACAGGAGAACTGCAAGCAAATGGCAATGAGAAGTACAAAGAGTAGAGGTCTGAACAAAGTGATAAGGGAGCTCAGAGAATGAAGCTGAACATGGTGCATAGATGGAGCAAACAGGTGTGAACAGACTGGAAGGAATGTAGACAGGAAGTGTACCTGTGATTAGCCAGGACCTACAGGTCCACCCAGTCAATAAAAGCCCAAACAACCCGACAGGGAGTTTGCCTAATGCACTTGGAAAACAATGTCCCTTCTCTTTAACATATCTTTCATTTCCTATTATGAGGAGAGATGTTTCAATCTCCCCACCTGTGGAAGGGGCACGAGTACACGTCCAGGCCTTTCTCTGACACCTTCTCAACATTTCATTCATTGAGAATTACTATAACTAAGGTAACAGAATTTTTCAATTTGATGGTTTAAGTCCTACTATTCAAAGAGCTCTCACTCTCCCATCCACACAAAGCCTAGAGCGACTTGAAAAGAAACTTGACAAATAAATAAGATTGCCCCGAAGTACATGCCAAGCACATTTTCCGAGCAATGTAACAGAGACATACTTTCTTCCCCCTAAAAATAATATAGGGCAAAGAGTATATGAAGCGGATATGAAAAAGTTTAGCTAAGCTGGCTTTGATTCTATGCAAGACATGACCACTGGCTCCTTAACTCTTCCAGATATGAGATCTGCTCATTTGGGGGGAGGTCACACTTGTTTCATCGATTAAAAGACAATGCCCACCCCTGTGTGCTATGTATGTCAGGGCTAGTCTTACAGATACGATTCCTTCACCTATGAGAGTTGTCACCCTCTATTTCTGCCAACCCTCCTCCACGTCTTCATCCAATGAAGAAAATTGTGATTTTGCCAACTTGTACATTCCCCCTTCTGCACCCTCTAGAGAGAATTCTATTTCCTTTTGTAAAGCCAAATGGAAAACTGCACAGAGCATAGAGATGAGGAAAAAAAAAAAAACGAAGCAGAAGAGCTAAGTGTATAAAACTAAGGGCCGGTGAGGGGGTAGAGAAGTCACAGGAGTGAGTGGTGTGGGAAATTTGGTCTGGGGGAGGATGCTGAGGAAAATTAGGGCAGCAGAGAACTAGCAAGGGGAAGGGAGGATCCCCTTCTGGGCAGAGAATTACAGAGTTTTTTTTTCTAAGGTGCTCTCAAGATTGGAACTATTCTAGTTATTTTTGCATACCAGACAGCACTTTTTTTTTTTTTTTTTTTTTTTTTTTTACTACTACTCCAGTATGTACTGGGCCACACGAGGCCCTGCCTTGCATCTCAGTCTCCCCCAGAGAGGTGATACCACTGCAAGCTCCTAAATGCTTTGAGCTCCTCTGTCCACCCTCCTCCCACATATCTCCTTTGTGGGCTGTGTCACTGTGCTTGGAATTCCACCAGGGATGCCTCTGAGCAGAGGAAGTAAAGGTCCGGTCTTCAATGGGAAGTGCAGTAGGATAGGGCACGCTCACTGCCAACACCATTCTTTGAAGGTTTTCATCAAAGCAATGGCACCACCTGTGAAAAATCTAGGCCAGCGCCTAACTTACAAGAGTGTTCAATCGTTAGTCTGTTTTTTTTTTTTTTTCCCCAGGATTCTGAGAGAATGGGGACATAGGAGAATAGGAAAGCTATGTTTCGATGCTTGGCGAGACCATTAGGGACAGGGTGCCTCAAGGGAAGCTTCAAGACTGCACAGCTAAAATGGGAATGGGGCAATTTTAAGCAATTGAGGGGGGGGAGGGGAGATGGAGTCCAAAGGAGAGAAGAGAGGGCATTGAAGCAATCTTGGTCTTCTGATGTCCCTGAGTCACCCTGCAGAGGAGGAAAGAAATATAATTTCTTTTTTTTTAAAGCAGCTTATTATTTTTAAAAAGATTTTATTTATTTATTCATGAGAGACACACAGAGAGAGGCAGAAACATAGGCAGAGGGAGAAGCAGGCTTCCCACAGGGAGTCTGATGAGGCATTTGATCTCAGGACCCTGGGGATCACACCCTGAGCCGAAGGCAGACGCTCAACCATTGGGCCACCCAGCAGTCCCAAGAAATATAATCTCTATAGGACAAAGGAGCTGAGTATCTCCAGACTCACAAAAATGGCAGAAAGCTCTTGTAGTTTAGAAACCCCCATCTGTGGTCACCTCATCCACAAGCTTTTCCCTGGACCTCTGAGTTGGAGACCCCGTCTGTGCTACTTCTGCAAACTGCCATGTTCGTCTGTTTGCTCGTTTTCAATGACCCATGCATTGTGTGTTCATTCATGTCATACTCAGAACCACTCTATGACACTGGGATTATTGCCTCCACTTTACAGACAGGGAAATTGATGTTCAGAGAGCTTAAGTAACTTCGATCATAATTACATGAGAGCTTGGGCTGCTGCGGGGCAGGGATCTATTGCTTTACTCATCTTTGAATCCCAGGGCCCTACATCATGGTTGGTGTTGCAGATCTCTACTAAATATCTAGTCAATCAATGAATTGTTCCTCTCGCGTGCACTATGGATTTCAACTGGAAACTACTAGAATGGTGATTCTCAACTTACTTGCAGGAGAGGAAAGGATTCACAAACTCCTTGAAAAATGAAACTAAACAATTTGATTTTACTCTTCCCCCCAAAACATACATATGTTCATACAAAGCTATGCATTTAATTTCAGGGGACTCCTGGACCCCCTAAAGCCCAGCCAAGTATCTCTGTGACAAAGTATCTTTGAGTTGAGGAACCTCAGTGCTGGATTCCAAGGGAGTTGTTTGGGTTTGTTTCATGGTATGAGCATGGCAACATTCACCAACATGCTTCTAGAACTAATACTGATTATTTGTTCAGCTCTTCTAACATGGACAAAGGCTCACAGCAAAGCAGATCAAGGGAGGTGCTTCTTGGGGCACCTGGGTAGCTCAGTCGGTTGAACATCCAACACTTGATTTCAACTCAGGTCATGATCTCAGGATCATGGCATGGGGCTCTGTGCTCATCAGGGAGTCTGTTGGAGATTCTCTTTCTCCCTCTGCCTCTACCTACCAGTCCCTCTCTAAAATAATAAATAAATCTTAAAAAAAAAAAGAGGCAGATCGGGAGGTGCTTCTTCATAAAACTTAATCATAGGGTGAAAAGGGCTCAGGTAGATTAACTGCCTGGCTCCTGGCCAGGCTGAAAAAATTGAGTCTAAGGGGGATTCCTATTCTCAACCTTGTTGCATGAGACAAGGCTGAGTAGTTCATTGTGTCTGTCAATT